AGAGACAGAGACAGAGACAGAGACAGAGACAGAGACAGAGACAGAGACAGAGACAGAGACAGACAGCGCCTCTCAAACTTGGTGTCTTGGGTTGGTACACAAGGCCGGAGAGCTGAGCCAGCATCACCTCTGACCTATGAGTGGAGCGAGAGCCGGTGAAGCTTGCGGACGGGATTTGGACACGTGCACCGAGCTCTCGACTCACGTTGGCGCCCCTCAACCTGAGAGTCTCTCAGTCAGAACAGCTCTTGACCATGTTTCCATCTATATAAGTCCAAAAAGACTCAAGACTCAAGACACTCAAGAACTCGAAAGCTCTGGGCGAAACTCTCATGCCAAATCCGTAAGTCTGTGACATCTTGCAACTTCGAGTCGGAGCGGGCCACATTTTCCAGCACCTCGCTTGCGACACCATGACGAGAAGGGTGACAGAAAACACAATGATTTCAGTACCTCCCGCTTTCTCAAAAGTTCCTTGCCGCCTTCTCAGCAAAAGATCCGCAAGATCCGCAAGGCCGTAAGATCCGCACCGCTTCGAAGTTCAGGTGTTGCTGCTCCAAGCGAGAGATCTCAGTTGTATATGCCACTACTTGAGTGTCCAACGAGCTCGTCTCGAGCTCGGTTTCGACAGCTCGTCTAGGTGCAAGGGAGCAGCTCGCGAAAGAAGCCGATGCTCCAATCCCTGGGGGCATCGACAGGACAACTTCACGGATCAGAGACTTCTCAAAGCAGTCCTTTTTCTTTCGACCCAGTCTTCCCAACTCAAGTTCTCACATCAATCGCAGGCCTCGACTTCACGTTTGATCGCAGCCAAAAGCGGGCTCTGACCCTGCAACACATGCAAACAAAGACCTGCTTGAAGAGTTCACTGGCGGACTGGATGGAGAATGACTTTAAGAATGGTCAGGCACATTCCTCCATCCACTACAAATTGGCGAGTGACCCGTAGTTTGACACACCCAAAAACTTTCGGCAGCCACCACGACGTACTGGTCAGCCAAAGGATCATTTGTACATACGACCATATTTATCCAAACTAAACCAAAAAGGACGCTACTAGGGGCTCCTGGTCTTACTACTGGGAGCAAATCTCGGACGCTACGAACGCTCCAAATCTCGGGTGCTGCCGACCTCGGTGTAGTCCGAGGTGCTTCCACCTCAGCATGTAGCGAACATGCACTGCATCTGCCTGAAACGCCTTCATACACTTTCGTCAGTAACGCCTAGCAGACAGCGGTCATGAATTGCCAGGCAAAATGAATCATGGATGATCGATTCTTCAGTTCACGCCGCATCCAGTCGCTAGCCGCTAAAGGCGGGTCAACCAAAAAAGGCAGAACCTCGAGGTTGAGGGGCAGACCAGTCTTCCCTGGCAGAAAGAGTTTTGGGTCAACGAGGGCAGACTCTCTCAATCTCCGGCAGTTCCAGAGGTCACTGTCTGGGCTCAATGCTCCCAAGCAAAGCGAAGCTTCGCTGAATGCACCTTCCACACCAATCTCCATGCTGGAAATGTCAAGCGCCCGTGACAGTTGTTCAATCTGCGTCTGCTCAGCTGTATGTGTACTGTGCACCAGGGCTGCGTCGTATGTTCACGTCCTGAGTCTGACTGGCGTGTTTTTTACTGGCTGTTTCAATAGAAATGGGTGGTATGCGACCAATAAAACTCCAGCGTCAGATAGCATGGCCAAACCCAACAGTTGCCAAATATAATTTGCAACCCCAGTTGCAGATCAATACACGAAGGCACAAGCATATTTCTGCAGTGCACACATGGCTGAGTCGGAATGGCAAGCTCACCTTATTGGGACTTGCGGATCAAGATAGAGTATCTGAGTGATACAGAATCTACAACAATAAATCTTTAAATTGGGGTCTCAAGACTTGCAATCAAAATCGCCTCTTTGTGCGATGTCCACCACTTTATCCGGGTGGGGCACTGGTCGCTTCAACCGTTCCCAAGGAGCTCGAATGCCGAACCACCACCTGAAGGCTTCGGCAACGAAAACATGAATCACTTCGAGGCACGACGCGACAAAGTGCCTCGAAGGACATTGGTCAGACTGACAGAAGTTTGGACTTGCACCTCTGCATCTGATCTACTTGTCTCTGGAGCAGCCCACTCTACAATTTCAGGAACAACAACAGCTCCGCCTCCAGCGAACCGTGCATGCTGGTAGAGAGGGAGGTGGACTTGTCGGGCAAGGTGACTTCCTGTGCGTTCGGGCGCTTGTGACACCCTGGTACGGCCCATGGCCGCCTATGGCCTTCTCCCGGTCCCCGAGCCAAACCCACCGGCGCCGTCCTGAAATCCCAGAACGGTGCTAGAGATGACCTGCGCCGTGTGGATCCGTGCCGTGCAGAGGCTCTCCGTGCGAAGAATGCTGCCAAGGTGCACAAGTGAGGGCCACTCCACTCACGTCCATCAGCCTCCCAGAGCCGAGATGGCTCGGGAGAAGCAAGCAATTGTACAAGCATTGGCAATAGCAAGTATAGGCAATAGGCGGCTCATTAACAGTCATTAAGAAGCGAGCTTCAATACTTTCAGCCAAAGGGCACTTGGATTGTAGCACCCGCATGGGCTGGATCCACACCCATCTGACTCAGGAACAAAGGCAAAGCAGCTCCCAGGGCAGTGGAGGTGAACACAATCACAAGCCTTGGTTGCATCCAAAGACATCAAATCAGCACTTGGCACTTCACAACTATCAAGGATCCTCTCTTGACTAGTGAAAATACACCGAAAAATTACATTGAAGCTGACTCAATGAAGCACAGCAACATCGACAAACAAATCGCCACACATTCTGCTCCGTAGACCTCAAGAGGATCATACAAGTCACGTTACTCATTGACTGTGTAGTGACTTAGTGGGCCTAATCGCCTGGCCGGCCTTGAAGATAATGCAGCGCAAGAATGCAGCGCCAAAGAGCACCACTGCCAGTTTCGCACCCACCAGAATCTCCGGTGCAATAATCCGTCGAAAAGAGATGACAGTCGTCCCTTCAGATCGATGACAAGCGGCCAGCGCCAGCCGTCTCACCACCAAGACGGTACTTTGACCACCAGCATTTCCACCAGCGCCCACCAACATAGTCAAGAAATAGATCACAGTAGGATGTGATTTGATAAGAAACCTCGTTGCCGGAATCATTCTGGAAAATGGTTTTAGTGCCTATCCCAAGCTATCTATACAAAATTAAAATTACAAATATGTAGAGCGGAGCAATGAAATGCCCACCGCGATGGTAAGTTTGAAGGATTTCACTGTCACACGTATCTTGTATCATTCACTGAATTCACCATATTGCCCAAAATAGATTAAACTATCTGCTGGTGACTTCGAGCAAGTACAAAAAGCCTGTGACAAAAAAGGAATCAAATCATTTGCACAGACCAAGAATCTCGAATCCTCAGATGCAACTGTCACAAAAGCTAGCATGGGTCACAAATAACTGTATATAAATGAAAGCACGTGGCTGCCCAGTGGCTTTGAAGTATAAAAGAAGAGCTGGACTGGCAAAGGAGCAGCAGCACCAGCCAGCCAGCGCGATGCCAAAATATATGCAAACCAGCAGAGGCTCTGTCCTTCTGTTCGCAGCTTCGAGTTTGCACTGTTCAGTTGATTTGCACTTGTTGCAAAACAGTTCTCAGTGAGATCACCTACTGCACAACTGGCATCATAAAGTGCCAACTGCACCTGTCCTCATCTCCTGCATCGTGCAAAATGAGTGGCCTGCGTACCAATGCCAATCACAAAAAGAAAACGACACCAACGCCGGCGCGCCTAGTCCCAGGTCCCTCAGCTTTCAGCTTGGGGCGATTGCGATGTCGTGCTTCCTCATCGAAACATGGCACGCCTTGGTAAGGCCAGAGTTCAGTCCGAGTTGAAGTTCGGCCCTGTGCACCTGCCTTCATCACCAAACTCGGCCAATAGACCCAGCTCTTCTTCACCGCCCATGGCATTCCAACGATGGTCAATAGCAAACCGTTGGATTGTGAACTGTGGTCACTTGGTTTCAAGTTTGGTCAAGTTTTTGTGACTTGTTTCGGCAACGATTGTTGCAACAGTGGGATGAGTCATGAATCCAGCAAAAAAACTTGGAAAAAAAAATTGTGAAAACAGATGGTCCTGCAACGAAACATGTGGCTTCGGTTTGTGGTAATGTCTCAACATGCGTATCTAGTTGGGCGCTTGGAGCAAAAAGTAGAAAACAAACCAGCGTTAATTTGTGTTGCAATGAAGACCAAAAGAAGCTTCAACATGTCCTTGGTATGTTGCAACACCCATCCAAAATACATCATGCAGAACCAACGTTTTTCGGCGAACCGCTTTGAGTTTATGGTCAATGCCATTAACTGCAACAACGTAACGTGATCGCGATTGACGAACCTTGTTGAAAATCTACTAGCGCTTGTACTACAAACCAAAAAATTCAAGCATGAACCGAAGACATTTTTCCAGCCAGAGGCTGATAGGGACTGGGCAAAAGAAAGTCAAGACAATCATCTGTGTTGGGGACACACACACACCCCACAATTGAGGAGGTGGGCGTATCAAGCAGTGAAAAACTGAAACAATTCCCTGAACTTCACTTGGCTCAGAACCCTTCTAATCTCGCCCCAATGCTTTTCTGAAGCCTTCTTCGGCCTGCTCTTAGCTCGGAAATGATTTCCTCAAAGAGGGTTCAAAGATTCACTCCGCAACTCGAGTTTGTTGGTGCGAAACAATTCTTCCAATGCCCAGTGGGCTGGCAAAGCATCAGCTGTCAACTGACATTCAAGGGTGAGAACTCCGACGCACTGTGCTACAAGCCTGGTCGATGCCCCAAGAATCATCGCCGACCAAAGTTCTACGGTTCCTTTTTGTCCTTGGCCTCACGAAAGAAGAGACAAAAGTTAAAATAGTGAAAAGTAAAAGCATTCGAGAAAAAATTTTGCAGATCTAGCAGGAAACTGCAAGGATGCCAGGCAGTTCAGAGCCCAACCACGGGGTTCTGGGGCTGCACCGCACAATGCACCTTGAACCATCAACAATTAATTGCCACAGTTGCAAAAGTTCCAGCAAAATGATGGCAAAGGGCCCACGAAGCTCCAAATCCAAGTCCATCTGCCGTACTTCGGCCTGTTCTGACACCTGGAAAAATTTGGGAATTGCAGCAAAAAGTTTTGCACCACGGAAAAAACAGGAAGCCTAAGCCAAAGCCATCCCCACAGAAGACAATCTTTGCAAGATGGTCTTTGTGGGCGTGATCGAGTTGCGCGCCAGTTCCGACGATCAACAACATTCCAAATGTTGATCATGGCACGAAGTCCACACAAAGCAGGCTATGATGACCCACGCGCCTGCCAAGTACGAAACTTCGAATACCCTCACATCACAGGTTGGAATTGATCTCCACTCATCATCAGCAAACAGAACATCAATCCAAGAGAAGGGCTCAGCGGCACCAGCTGACCACCTGCTCGAACGATCTGATCGACAGAGAACAACACACACAGAGCACATCACTGCACTCAATTTTCTGAACTTTTTTGGTCTCCTTGCACAGTTCCACTTGTGGAAGTTGAAATGACGGCACTGAAGGAGCGAATGAAGAGCGCATGTGACCCTCCATTGAGGACAACTTCAATGCCTTGCAATGTTTGGAGAATGTTTCCGATGGTGTTTTTGCCTGCACAGAACGGTGTGCCAGGAACTGTTGCAGAGAACTTGACAGTTCAACTGGCTGGTGTCTGCGAACAGTACCAGATCTGCTGGGTGCTTTTGCGTGCATGTTTGTTTGTTGCTTTTGGACATCCGCCGAGTCGACCTTGCGCCCTGAGACCGAACGTGCCATGTGCACCCAGCTGCTAGCAGTTCTTGCAAGATGGCACGACCATTCCACTGGGAGCATGGGGCAATGTTCCACGGACAGGTGCCCGTTTGGAGAAGAGAGAGTCCAAACAAGGTTGTCCGGACGCTTCAAGTTTGTTGTTCAAGAACCGTGTGAAGGTCTGGCGTTTCGTGCAAGACTCTACAAGTTTCTACGTGACGAACATGCGCCAGTCGGATGCGTTTCGTGGTGCTCCGGCAGCCCCGCTCCTGAAAGAAAGAAAAGAAGAGCGACAGGATGTAGGTGTAAGATGTGCAGATGTGAAGATGTAAAGATGCAAATTTGCAGATGTGAAGATGATGCACACAACATGGTAACACTCCTGACAGGCTACAAATCACAGACTCTTGGGCCACAAACAACTTCCAAAACATGAATGAAGGACCTTCTAACATCGTCCGCAACAAAGCGAAAATTTATTGGTCCTCGACGGCTGTTGTTTCGTGGTTGTTGAAACAGCAAGAGGTTGACGCCAACGTTTGCGCTCTGCAGGCCTCCAGAAACTCAAAGTTTCAAATCTGTCCTTTCTTGGTTTCTCCAAGCTCAAGGTTTCAATGTTTTTCCGGAAAGCGTTTGCGAAGAGTTTTTCGCAAAAAGCATCTGTAGAACCACGTCTCATGCATCTTGACATCTGCACATCGACATTTGCACATCTGCGGCTCTGCTCATCTTCATCTGCACATCTACATCTCTGTTTTTTCAGATCTTCACATCTGCACATCCACATCTTTGTTCATCTTCGCATCTGCACATCCACATCTCTGCTCACCTGCACATCTTCACATCTGCACATCTTCACATTGATGCATCGGAATTCAAACTTCTTCGAAACACACCTTTGCCAGGCAGCCTTCTATGGTGTGCACACCTGCTTCGACTTGCACATGCCTGACATCTGCGACGTGCGAAAATGCCTGCAGCAAAACTCGATCGATGCCATTAGAAGGGACTTCAACTGCTCTTTGTGCTCCGCCTGTTTTTCACGAAACAAAACCAACCCACCAAAGCAAAACCAACCAGCAGAAACACAAGAATGGAGACTCTCTCTTGAAAGTAAGCGTACATGCATGTTAGGGAAGCCCACTTTGGGGACCCTGCAATCCATTGCGTTTTTGGCGCTTGGTTTTGGGGCCGTCAATGGACAAGATTTTTGCACGCGTCGTGGTCCTCTTGGCGGCTGCACATTGTCTCCAAATCAGTCAGCTGGTCTCTAAAAGCCACTGAAAACCCTCGCGGGGGGGGCTTAAGCTCCACTTCGCCGAAGGTCTCGGGTCCAGCCTCCCTCTACCTTTCCTAGCTGGCGCAGTGGAGGCCTGGTGTGACTTGGCAGTTGTGTGACTCTTGCATTTGCCAGTGGGGACTGCTGAACCACCAGAAGCTGGCACTAAGGCAAATTGGCAAAGAAGTTTTCCTTAATTGTGTTGCGCTCCAAGAAGTGGCGGTCTCCAGAAGGAGTATCCACACAGTTACCACCTCCTAGTAACTTGCACTCTTTCATGAGATGGGTGGTCTTAGCCACCCTACTTCTTGTTGTCTGAGTATTTTTTGTTTCGAAATGACCGCATGTTCGCTATCTCAATTGTTTGGCCCAAGCAACTCGAGCAAGAACGTTCGGACTGCCGCCTACAGCAACAATGCCGCTTGACCAAGACCGATATGAGGTCAGCATCGATTTGGTGACTTTAACAGGCACGGAACATGCCATGCAAACAAATCTCGCTCAGTATGAGGACGTGGCAGAGCTGGAAGATGACATTCTCTGCTTTCTGCCAACAGTCTCTGATTTGGATGTCTTTGGCTGTGAGCTGGACCTGCTCGACCTTCACACGCAGCGATCTCTGCCAGAAGCATTCCACACGTGCTCCTGCAACGGCATGGTGGATGGACACTCCATCTGGCAGGCAGAGCCTTCCATGCTGCACCCGTGCTCCGGCGCGTGGATGTGGCAATGGGCATTCAACATGTAGGAATCGTGGCCTGGCAGAGTTGTCAGCAAGTGCAAATTGTCAAGCTCCCACCCTCTGTCATGAGTCTTGAAGATGGACCTTCCAGGCGTGCTGCGTGCTGCGAGAAGTGGCCGCCCCAGGATGTGTCCAGTACAGCCGAAGAGTATTTGCGGAGTGCTGCTCCCTTGGTCGAGTTGGTGTCAGTCACGAAACGGATGACACTAATGTCCTTGCACCAGGGGCACAGTGTAGGCAGATATGCATTTGAGAGTTGTCTCACACTTGCATCCATCACCTTTGTCATGGACCACACCAACAAACCTCGAGCGCTGCCTGAAGGCGCATTCTGTGGAGCAGGCATTGAGCAGCTCTGTTTGCCAGTCCACTTGTTCGGCTGGCAGCACCACCATTCACTAGTTCCATTTCGACTGGAACAATTTGTTGCTTCTGCTCGTTTTTTTCCACGAGTGCGGATGGGCCAAGTCTCCCCTGCTGCCACCACCTATGAGGTGGAGGCAGTGGGGGAGGCCTGATATGACAGGAAGACCCTGCTGCAACGAGGAGCTTCCCTCTCCTGGAGGAGGGACGTACGGCGAGCTTTATTACGCGGATCGGAGTCTTCCTGACTGCAGCCCATTTGGTCCCTAAGTGCCTGCTTGTGGCCTGCGAGCTGCCTCCCAACGTGGTCACACGGGCGATCTTCCATTTTAGGACTGAGGGGATGTCCATGACAGCAGTAGTTACTGAGGAGAGTGCTGGGAATTTTGGTCAGCGTATAGCGGGGAGACAGCAGATCTGTGCGGGACATGGCAACCCTCAGCCCGGAGGTCAGCCACTAAGCGACTACTGCACTCTGCTTGGATGTTCCCTTGCTCAAAATTGCGGAGCGCCGTTGCCAGCCTGGTATAGCCCATGCCGAAACGTCCTTATCCCTTGGCAAAGGCGCAGTTGGGTTCCACTGCCATGTCCTCTTCCTCAGTTGCTTCGTCAGTCGCGGCCGAAGTCATGCACAATTCAGAGCCACGCAGTGGGCAAAAGTGGAGTGGAGCAGGGGGTTGACCTCCACAAGTCCTTTGCAGTTTTCACAGGCCCGTGGCCCGATATTGTGAAAGTCACCACCATCGGGGCAGGTCAGGAGCATAGCTGTGCTCCTACCCCGGTTGTATCCATGTCGAAATGGATCAG